CGCCTGTTTTTTCTCCCCCCCCCCAGCCACTGTTTAGACTAGTGGTCTTGAAGTGGGCTGCACGCACATCAAGAACAATCCACGGGGATTGGGATGCAGGAAGAACATATGTTTTACCCTTATTAAATAGAAGATTATTTTTTAGACACTGTTTATTTCATCTCTATTCATCTCATCCTTTTATAATGTATATTTTATAATGCATAATATATTAGTTATTAATTATTTATAATTATTAAATGTATTAGTACAGTATTACATATGTGTAATTTATAAATAAAATACATACTTCGGGGGTATGTGCTCAAAAAGATTTTACCAATAGATGTTCACGATTGAAAAGGTTTGGAGACCACTGGGTTGGACCAGAGAGTTGTTGGCTCTATAGGTCAGTATTAAAACTGCACCGAGTTAGCTGAAGTGTCCTCACTTCCCTAGAGCATTGAAAAGACTGTTGTGTAGTGTTGAAGGACATCACTTGTACAGCCTAATAGTTTATTTGTTTCCGAAACACACAACAATTTGTATTTCATCAAGTGGATTAAATAAGTCTCTTGGGAGTCCTCATTCGAATCAGTCAGGATTTCCCTTAAGAAGAAAATAAAACCTTTGCCAGGAAAAATGAAACAAATGAAATAGAGCTGAACAAAACCAAGCAACAATCCAAGAGATACTTACTACTACTGAATGCCATATGCAACTAATACGATTAATGTTTTGAAGATGTGACAAGGTCAAATGATAGAGCGATTAAGTATCTAACAAAGTTCAGGCACAAGTCTGTGGAAAATCATGCTGGAATTTTTGGCTGTTAATACTCCAAGGGCCATTAAAAGTTACAAGAAACTATTGAAATGTTCACTAGTTTGGGGCCTCTTGTTAAAATGTTATGTTTTTCTCAGACACTTGAGGGATCAAGAGGGTTTTCTTTTCTTTGATGTATTCTATCTGCTCTGGGGTAAAAACACACATCACAAAATAAACTTTTTTATATTTAATATTTAATGACATACAGCTGCTGGAGGGAATGTTTTTTCTCCTTAACATAGCACAATCCCACCCTGCTAAAGGATCATTTTCATTTTGCATTTTTGTTTTTAATACTGCTGAGGGACTAGACAAAGGCTTGGTTCAGCACTGCAGGCTGGGCAGACAGTTGATCTCAAACATTTATGGCTTTGAAGTAGAGCTAGATTGAAAACAAAAAGTTTATCATCACCAACTGTTTCAGTGCAATGAAAAGGGTTGATATCTCAATCCAACTGAAATACAGTTTCTTATGGGGTTTATGACACCCATTGGTATCATTTCTTTTTTTTTTTTACCCTATTTCAAAATATGACAAGTAAAAATGCAGAGAATTTATACTGATGTGTCCTTATAATACTATTGCTGAAATACTTTAATATTGTCGTACTGTTACTTAAAATACTATGGGAAACAACTTTTTAGAATTGATGGGAAATAGCATCTTCTTATGAGAAGGTATAGTAAATATTCACTTTATCAGTTCAAGAACCTGTGTCTTCCAATATGTTTAAATTAGGCTGGAATTATTTTTCTGTGATATTGAAAAAACTACTCCACTCTCATATACAGCTGACATATTAATAAGCAGAAAGGGAACTTTAAAGAAGAAAATATTTTTAATGATTATCCTTAATTACTAAAGTATTTCAAATATTATTGCACAGGATGGTATTATATATGGCCCCATTAATGTGGACATGCCATGAGACTAAGTGGAATAATAAATATAGATAAAAGTGTATTAATTGAAATTCTGAAATAAAATATCAGCATGTTATAAACTGCCAGTGGGTTTTTAATTTTCATTTGTGAGAAAATGTTAAAACTTATTTTCCTTCAAATTGATATGAAGAAGTATTCAGGAAGTTGACCTGTTCCACAGTGTCAAAAGTCAGCTTCAGCCAACTCTTCCCTGAAGTGAAGAACATAAGACCAGTTTAAAGGAAGCAGGAAGTATAGTGCATTTGAATCTAAAGTTTTCTACTCTCTAAATACCATTTAAGTCTCTGTAGTTGGTATTAAATGCAACTTTGTGGGAGGCAAGATTCCCTTGATGCTTTCAAGGTTCCCCTATAATCTAAAGCACATTGTGGTGCATGCTTGGTGCAGAAACCTGTGTAGTTTAGCCATGTTCTTCTCTGCTAGTTTGATATCATGAACTTGTGGAGCACTGTTCACAATTACCAGTGCTGTCTGTAATATTACATACAACACCGACATTAACCTTGAAATGATTTGGACTCTTCATTAGGGACTCTAGTGGTAGGACAAGGGGTAATGGGTTTAAACTTAAACAGGGGAACTTTAGGTTAGATGTAAGGAAGTAGTTCTTCACAGTGAGGGTGGTGAGGCACTGGAATGGGTTGCCCAAGGAAGCTGTGAATGCTCCAACCCTGGAGGTGTTTAAGGCCAGGCTGGACAGAGCCTTGGGCGACATAGTTTAGTGTGAGGTGTCCCTGCTCATGGCAGGGGGGTTGGAACTAGATGATCTTAAGGTGCTTTCCAACCCTAACTATTCTATGATTCTATGATTAATATTAGATGGGAGGAAGATGGGATATATTTCACTTTCTGCTGTGTATACAGTGCTGGTACCTTTTCTAGCAAGCTTGTGCGTGTAAGCGCTCCTCTTGATAGCTTTACAGAGTTGTTTTTAATAACAGGTTTTCCCTCATCAGAAACAAGCCGCTTGCTCTGAAAACCTTATGCCTGATGCAAGCCACATGACTCCTCCCCAGATTCCTGCCACATCAGCAGATTCTGTGTGTGGAACACACTGTGAAGTTATGTTCTAGGTGTATTCCTGTGGCCATTGAATAAAATTCTTTTTGACAGATGAAAGTCATGGCCAAACAGCTTAAGATGAGGGAATAGACCAATGAAACGGCAAAAGCTTTTTGGGGTGGAAGCTTTGCCAAGTTTTAGGAATTCCACTGCTATGCTAGGCTTCTCCCAGCTGCATACTTTGCTTTTAGTGATAAAAATTAAATACTAAACCTGGTGAACAGCTACTAAACCCTGTAGATTACTTTGCCATTGGCAGAGGACAGTTGGTAGTACTGTCATTGACCTTAGAGTGCTATGTATAGGAAGGCATTTGTTAGAGCCTCTTCAACTTGATTTGGGTTGTGTTCCCATTTGGAATCCAGTTGTGAGAGGATGCTATCTACCTTTTTGGAGCAGTTAATACTATGGCATGTCAGAGACCTTAACTATTTTATTTTTTTTTTAAGAAGCTTGAACTATTAATTTAACATCAAAGGATGTGTTAATAACAAGAAGGGAAGACCAATGCTTTTAACAGTAATGGCATCTGATGTTCCTATTTATTTAGTAATACCAAAGGCAAATCACCCCAACAAATTGAAAGCTGTAATTGTAAGATGTTATCAGAATAATGTGCCATTTATCTGAGTTCATGCTGCCAGTGGAAAGCAAATAGGGTTTTTTTCTACATTTTGTAAGACTGAAAAACACAGGACACTAACTGCTTCCATGCTCATTGCAATCTTCTGAGTGCCCGATAAGCCTGAACCTTGCCAAGAGGCAGCTATTGCTTTGTAATCTGCAATTTCCTATTTCTGCTTAGGTATCTGATATGCGAGTTATTTTATTCCAGAGTAGAATGAAAGCTTTTTACACTGGGAAGGTTTTGATAATTGCTTTTAGAGGTTATGACTTTGTGCAAAATGTGTTAGCAAAAGGCATTTTGTCATTTCTCCACCTAATTAATATGGAGAGGTGTTCTTGTATCCTGTGCAACAATCCTGTATTCTGGACTTGTGTTCAAATGGACTCTCACCTGGAAGTACAAACATGAGTGGTGAATGATCCCCATCCTATTAAAAAACGGGGCTGCTTCTGGAACCTCAGAAAAATTCTGTATTCTTTTCCTTACTTTCCCCATCTGTGTAAGTGGAAAACACTCCCCTTCAGGCTAGTTGTATGAAACTTGATTCACCAAGTGAAAAGTGCTTTCGTTTCTCAAATGATCTCAAAATTAAAGTCAGAATCATTTTATTTTGTCTATTTATTAAAATGTTTGGCTGCAGAATTTAAAGAATTATTTTATATCTTCTTTCTTCTTAATCAGTGTTTGGCAGAATTGAACATGGCTGTTCAAATGCTAAACGGGCTCCAGCTAAATATAATTCATCAATGGCATTTGTTAGCTTTAGGTTAAACTGATTGCCAGGAGGCATCCCAGTAAAGCAGATACTGCAGTTCAGTCCCAGTTGAGATGAGCTTTAAGTATAAACTTAAGGCTTTGGCAAATCTTTTCCATTGATGTTTAATCAGAGAGCTGGGCTGAAACGCGTTTACTGTGACACAGGATTTTAAATAGTAGAAATCTTGTAAAAGAACATAATGATCTGATTTCATTCCCTTTGAATTCTGTGCAAGTTTTGTTGATGTTTTGATGATGCAGGATCAGAACTTCTCATGTAAATTCTAGTGGTGATGTCTGGTAGTGTGTAGTAGTGATGACACAGCTTTCATGGTGCTTCTCCTTAAAAAAATCAACTCTATTGATCTGTGTAAGACTTGTGTGGTTCTATGTAGCCTATGTTACACAGGTCCTGCTATTTTTAAAAGGGAATTTTATCTTACTAATCATCTATATATATGTGTATGTATACACACACACACACATGTTTTGCAGGTATTATTGACAGCACCCAGGTGGAGCAGAGGCAGGTCGTAGCTGTGACTGGTGATGGAACCAACGATGGACCAGCACTAAAAAAAGCTGATGTTGGCTTTGCAATGGTATAATCTTGAGCATATTTATTGATGTTTCTGTCATTATGGATTTGTTCTAAGAGGTTTTTCATTAGTTACATGCTGAGAAAGTTGCTTGGTTATTAGTTATTGGAGGAGGTGAGTTATGTTGCTTCTGAATCCTTTAATTTACTACGTTTTGCTACTTTTCCAAAATTTTGTCTAAGGTGATTATTGGCCATGTGCAGAATCCTGTGCCAATACAGAAAAATGAACTATTTTCTCCACAACTTTGCTTTGATTAAATCCATCACTAAGTGTAAAGATGTCTTCCGAATGTACTCTGATTCTGAAGACATTAATATGCTAGACTATATACTAATATACATGACTTTAATTTTTGTTAGCAATTCTGTTCATGTATATTAATAAGCTATAATCAATGATAAAAATAACTCAGAAGATCGGTAGTCATTAAGCTGGTAATTTAAACCACTCAAAATGATCATCACATGAATTCCACTGCTCTCTATCAATCCCCTTTTCTGTGTCCTTACTCACTTTCAGAAATAGGCCACATTAGCAACCTTCCTAGTGAACAGAAAATGCAGAATATACTCAGCAGTCCCTGTTACTATGCTGGGAAGTCTCTGTATAACTGTGGACTTTGAATGAGTATGAAGGTCTGTATTCTAACTGTCGCTCTACTTTCTAATAGGTAATGTTAGTCACAATTAATTTTTTCAGGGTATTGCTGGAACAGATGTTGCAAAGGAAGCCTCAGACATCATCCTGACAGATGACAACTTTAGTAGCATTGTGAAGGCTGTAATGTGGGGACGCAATGTCTACGACAGTATCTCCAAGTTCCTGCAGTTCCAGCTCACTGTTAACATCGTGGCTGTGATTGTGGCTTTCACTGGAGCATGCATTACCCAGGTGAGCTGTTGCTGAAAGTATGGGGTCAAATCCTATCAAGATAAATTTTCATTCTTAGGTAATGGTGGCTTACATTTGATTCTTACTTTGCACAACAGAAAGTATTCTTCTGAGCATTAAGAGTGTATTTAGGATCAAGCTGCTAAATGTTAAATAGCGGTTCACATAAGGAAGTGTACTAATTCATCTTCTCTTGGAAGTAAATTACTTTTAAGAGCTGCTAATTTTTATGCTGCTTCCACATAGCTCTCTGGTTTTGATTACATATTATTGTAATGACTGAGCCTTGTGATGGTGGACAAAAAATGTCAGGGATTGGAAGAAGGATGAGGTTATGTGACTTGGCCTTTTCCTCTCAGAATATTTCACTACAAAATGTATAATTTTTGATGGATTATGGAATGGGATTATTATTTTCAGGAGAGCAGTTCTGACACACAGAGGTAATCCCAGTGGGTGGGCTTTTTGACTGATAAAAACATTCTTGCTTTCAGGCAGTCCCTTTTAATTTCAGGTGCAAATGACAAACCAGTTAAATGCCACATGCAGTTGGACTTGGATCTCTTTTTCTGCCTTTACGTTAATCCCTCAGTGCAACCCTGGTGTACTTGCAATGTGACTACTACTTTTGCAAAAAATGTGTGAAAGCAAACCATAGTTTTTTCCCCCCTTCAAATTACTACTTTTTGATTCATAAAATGAAGTTTTATTTTCCCTAGAAAGAAAAGAGAATGTATTTAGTTCACTAGGAGGTCTTTCTAATGGAGGATAAAATGTAACATCCAGGTTTTAGTGCTGTCCCTCCCTAAAGTGTAGTTGTGATGCTGCAGGCAGGTGCTGTTACAAATTGCCTCCTCTGATGGAGACACACGATGGGGAAGCTGCTGCTTCCCTCTCTTGTGCATCATCCAGATGCACAGACCTGTTTTCGTGGGTGTATTTCACCTCATGCACACCTGAGCAAAACAATGAATAAGTCATTAGCTCTGTTCCAGGGTAAACTTACATTGTAATCATGGAATTGATCCTTGAAACCAGAAACCCAGGTACCCTTACAAAACCATGAGGTCAAACTTCTCCTAAGTCTTGACTGACGTGTACAGGCTTTTTTTGTGCTGCATGTCAGCAAGCTTCAGCTTCTGCTAGCGCCGTGCAATGGCTGCATGGATGGGACTGTTACCAGTCAGCACCTCTGCTAAGGGAGCATGAGGATAGTGCCGGGAGTCTCAGAGACATGCAAAAAGGCTGGTTTTGAAGCAAGTGGAAGCGATCTTAAAAAGTGAAATAACTGGTTTATCCTGTATAGAGGAAGCACTGAAACCTGAATTCGCTTGTTTTCCAAAAAGTCAAAATTGCAAGCTGTCAAGTGCTAGCTCCCTCCCACTGCCCCCAGGCCCTGCTCATGCCTGGGTGTCACAGCTGAGCCTCTCTGTGCCACAGATTTACTCGTATGGCAGCAGAACTTGGATAACTTTTCCCTTGGGAAATATGTCCAAGCATATTGAGAAAATGCTTAGCTATAAAGTGATTGTTGTTGGTAACAGAAGGTATGGAATAAGGACTAAAACTCTGGAAGGTCAGACCTCCTGGATTTTTATCAGTGGTACAAAACAATATAGAAAAGAGTACACGCAGCATCGTGGTGAGAATGCCGTGACTGGGCCTGCTGTGAGTGCTCCCTTTTAAGACCCTGTTTTATAGACATTCAATCACTGCCAATTAACATTTATTTAAGGTGATTTTTTTGTTGTTGTTGATATCCAGCATTTTTTCAATTGCCTTATGAAAACATGAAGGGAAATATATTCCGTTTGTTAATTGAAGGATTTCTGGTTTATTCTTTAAGAGGTTAAACATTACAGTGCATTAAAGACTATTTTCTGTCTAGTCTAAGTGCATAAACAGTGCGAGCTTTTCATTCCAGAGCTTTCTTCATCCTTTGAAGGATTCCATTGGCTTCTAGTAGGATTTGGATCAGGCCCAGTGTATTTATATTGCCCTAATGGTCTGTAAGACCATCACTGAGCCTGTCAAGTCTGTCATCCCTGTTTAAAGGTTTTAATGTACACCTCCTAGAATCCTGTATTTCTGTCCAAATAGATTCTCACGCAATTCCTTAGTTTGTCAGTAAAAATGCAAATCCAACAGAGACGTCCAAAAGGAGCTAAAATTCAAATTGTAGCAAAAGGGCAGCAGTTAATTCCATTGTAGTTCTGTTTATGCTCAAAGGCCTGACTGCTGATCATCCCAAGCAGCTCTCGGTTCTGCCTCTGCCTTACGAATGAACATCATTATGTAGGTTTTGACTCAAAGGCTCTAGCCAGTAAAAGGGCATTATGTTTGTTTGGCTCATAAGCATTTCTAAAAATTACCCTTAAGAACATACTGTACCCTGTGGCTGCTCTGGAAATAGCTCTATCCCAAAATGCATGAATATAACAAAAAAACCTTGCAAACAGGCTAGGTGCACATACACAGATCCAAGTCTGCAAAACTGCACACAGGTCTCAAATTACTATCTTGACTGAAACATTTAAGTTCTTAACAAACAAATGAAGCTAAAATTTATAGTTTCCAAAAGGCAGCATAGCTTTCTGTGACCTTCAAAATGAATATGTAAGGTCCACATCGGACTGGATTTTACTTTGCTTTTAGGTAGTCAGTTTTCCTTTGATATACAGAATATAATTTTAGTTCACAATTAATATTCAGATTAATTAATATTCCACAGATTATGGTTTTGGTGCTATTTCATCAAATCTAGAACGAGAAAAATTCTGTGCAGGTTATAACATTTCTTCCATGCTTCTTAATGTCGCCTCTCAAAAAGTATGTTCTGCAATTCAGAACCAGCATACTGGGACACTGGAGTATGAAGATTCTTCTATGCTTATCTACTCTGATGAAAAGCTGACTGGGGATCACTCCATCTGTGGCTGCATAGGTGCTCTTAATTTTGTTTCTAGCCTGCAGATAACACCCACCAATGAGACCACAACTATTGTTGCTACTAGTCCCATGTCGGTGCAGTTTGTGGCACAATGCAGCCAGGCTGTATTAATTCACCTGTCTTTCAAATAGCCTAATTCCTTTACCTCTTGCTTCTTCTCTCTGGGTTGCTCAGTGCATACTTTCAAACTGATCAGGGTGTGGTTATCTTGACCAGTTTGCATATAATTGTCCATTCTGTTTAGCAACTATTACCTCTGGTTAAACCGGTAATTCCTTTTTCCAGTGGATTTATGAGATACATTCTGACTTCATTCTTGGAATAGCAATTTTGCACAGCCCTTGCCTGACTCAGTGAGGGTTCTTCTTTGCAGCTCTGCCTACACTTACTGTGAATTTTGTACTTCAAATGAGTCATTGCTCCACACCTCTAGGTATCATATAGAGTTCTATATGCGCCTTACAAAGCTAGAAGATTTATCCTGTTTCCTGTCCCCTACACAGTACCAAGAGAATATTAGGTCATTATGTTTGGAGCTGTAAAAATAATCTGGGTAGGTACAAAATAAAGGTTTTTAAATGCAGTTCAGTCAAATGGAAACAGTTTTTCACTGGAACTCTAAAGCTAGCAGGTTATCTCTGTGCCAAATTTTGTCTGTATCCAACCGCTGAGGCAATGTAACTATTCAGAAAGGTTACATCAAAGACAGAGAAGACAAAGACTTTGTTTTAACATTTTGCATTCAAATTATTATTCTTGTACTCCGAGAAAGACTTAATGCTTTAGCAGACATTAGGAACTGAAAACAGTGACTCTATAGTACATTATATTTGGAAAATTAAATGTAAATTAAAAAGCACTCTTAGCAGTGAACTACTGCATGAATCACTTGTTGTTTTTACAGATCTTGTTCAAGAAATGAGGATGATCTATACTTACATGTATAAGGCAGTAATTTACATGGTTATAATGTTTGAATGCAAACTGTATTTGGCAAATCCTAAAATCATAGCATTGGCAAATTTGAAAAAGCTATAATATAAAATCAAAGTATGCACTGTTTAGCTTTGTTTTGGGAAGGCTTAGAGGCGTGGAGATAAAATTGAGGATGCCACTGCCATACAATTAGTGGATGATCTAGCAGCAGAAGTGAGGGCTGACATTTCTCTGCATTAGTGGATAAAAGGTTAACCCACCAGAAATGCTCATTTTTATAAACCCAGGCATGTGTTTTCTCTGACAAGTGGGAGTGAAGAGGTAAGGGTGAAAATACCTTTTTATTCTCCTACAGCTTGTCATCTAAATCAAAAGTAACAAGCTCTAAAATTTGTGAGGCTCTGCATGTCACAAAAGATTTGTAGTTTATATCCAGCCTTTGGCAATTTGTACTTTTAAGTGTTTCAAAGATGAAGTGTAACATCACTTGATTTAAGGGACATTTTCCTTTTACCTCTAGGCCAAAGCTAACCTATTCCAAGGTCAAATGGAAAGGAATTTGACAAATAACTGGTGATTTTGGGTTCAATTTGAACAGCTTTCATCCCCAAAGTTTTCAGAAAGTGAGTTAGGAACTATTAGCTAGTCAGTTAGTGGCCAAAATTCAGAACACTGAATTTGCATCCCACTTGCATTAGTGACTAAAATCTGTAATAATGGAAGACTAAGCCCCTTAGCTGATACGTATTTTCCTCAGTTTCCACCAACTAATCAGAAATCAGATAGAGTTGCAGTGGAAATTTCATTCCACTGCCTGCCCAGACTAATGTGTATTTAATGTTTTGGCTTCAGCTTAGAATGAGCTTTCACACTTGACTGAGCAGCGCAGCACTGCCAATAATAGATAATTATTAGGGGCACCATAGCCACCCAAGGTGATTGGCAGTGTGAAATGGTGAGAACAAGTTGTTGCCAAAACTGATGACTGCCAACTACAGTTGCGTGATTTAGAGACTGAAATAATCTGCCTCTTCGTTATGCTAGGAATATGTCAGGCTCTGATAGACACCTGAATATTTAACTCTGTTAAGCATAACAGACAAATTCAGCTTATTTACACAGAAGGCAGCACAGGAAGTGGAAATTCAGCTATTGTAACCTCTCAAAGTAGAAAATGTTTCTCGAGGAGTTATTAACCAGACAGGTAGAAGTATGACAAGGAAAACTGTTCAACAGAAAAACATGTTTTCTTTTTTCTCTATATACTGTGCCCTAGCAACAAACTGCTTTTAGTGCAAGTACTCTCCTTGTCTGAGGCATTAGTATTAATAAAAACAAATGAGGCCTCAATTTGGAACAAAGTTTGTCCTGATTGCTTTCAGGTTTTTAGCCACCTCTAAAGACAAAGATGTTTCCTGTTTCTGCAGCTGCATACCAAATGAGTGACTGAACTCTCCACACAAGCCCAGTTAATGCAACCCATAACCAAGAGGTCAAAAATCTATTTATGCTAATTTTCCCTAATGTAGCCAACTTGTAAAACTTAGAAGCAGGAGGTTGCTTTTCTCCATCCCTCTGAATAAGTCAAAAATTAGTTGTGTTCTTTTTTATTAATAAAATGTATCAAAATTTGTCTAAGTGTAGGGATGTTAAATACATGTTTTCAAGAGGAAATAATGGTTTATCACAAGGGAGAGTTGGAATATAAACCAGATCCACAAGAGACCAGACCACTTACCATTGTTCTCCACACATTCTTGGGATACTGAATTGGCCCTCATTATTTGACAATATTTCATTAAAAATGGCCATTTAACCCTTTGACAAAAAGGACAGAGTTCATAAGGTAGGTTTATTGCCTTTGATTTGGCTCGTATGCTGGTCCATAAATTTCTTTGCTTCATTATTACAGCATTATGGTAATGTAATGCATAAAAATAGTGCTCTGATCTTCCACCTTCCACACTGCAGATTAACTGCCTTCCATTATAAGAGCTGTCATGCTGATACCTTGTTACTTTTGAGATTCTATTTTTCTAATAAACCCCATCTATTTGAAACAGGAAGCAGACCTTACTAATGCTGCCCATTCTGGGTTCAGTCTAAAGGGGATTGTTAGATGCAGAAGAAGAACCTCCTTCATTCTTCCTGATATGGCTCCTTGAAGAGGTTGCATCCATCATTACAGCTGCCTTAGTGAATAACAAATCAAAACTCTCTAATATTCATCTCGAGTTCTCCGGAAATCTCTGCTAGTTTGCTTTATTTATTTTCTTTTGGGTTGTTTTAAGCGAGATCTCAAGTCCTCTCTGATATGACCATAGACACTACTGATTTGAGTGAGGAAAGAGCTCCTTCTAGCGGTTGGAGATTTGCTTCAGAAAAGTAATACATCCTGACCACTAGTAATGTTTGAGTTACTTCTTTCCAAATACATTATCCTGTTACCCCGTGAAACAATAAGGATTTTAGTATTTTTTTCATATTTGGTATAGTTTAATGAGTTTCAGGGTTGGTTTTTTTTTTCTTTTTAATCCAGATATTAGGCATGTTTTTAGTCACTACTGTTTTTAAAAGGTCTTATCCCAGGAAGATGTATTAACGTGTCTCAGGAATTGCCTTAAAAATTGATAACAATTACAAACTGTTTCTGACAAAACAGTATAGGTAGTTTATAGTAAAAGGAAACATTACTTTTTAAATTGTTCCAGTGTATTAGTGTTATCTAATTACCTAAATTCAGCTGGAAATTTCAGCATGATGCATGAAGTAACAGAGGGTATTGTAAAATCTATCATAAAGCATTATGTTATGGTTTGTAAGCATTGTGTGATTGTAAATATTCCTGATTTAAGGGACTGGAGAGAAATAATTTATCTTTGCTCAGATCACGGTGTTTCCTGTCATACTGGTCTTGCATATGAAATACAAGAAAGGACATAGTAGGGCAGACTAAAGGTCCGTGGATTTCAGTGTCCCATCTTCAGCACTGCTGGTGTCACACAGGAAGAAATTAAATCCCAGTAGAAGACTTGACAACCATTATTTGTCTAGGAAATATGTAACTTTCTAATTTGTCTCCACAGGACTCTCCTCTGAAAGCTGTACAGATGTTGTGGGTCAATCTCATTATGGACACCTTTGCCTCCCTTGCTTTGGCCACTGAACCTCCCACCGAGGCTCTGTTGCTGAGAAAGCCATATGGCAGAAACAAACCTCTTATATCCCGCACCATGATGAAGAACATTCTGGGCCACGCTGTTTACCAGCTTACTCTCATATTTACTCTTCTTTTTGTTGGTAAGAAAGTTTGTTATGCTTGTTGCTTGGTTTAGAACATGTCAGAAAGCTGTAAATGTAACTACTTAATGCACATCTATTAAGTCTGTCTCAGTTAAAGAGCTGGCAGAAGCGAGGTGTTTAATGGGATCAGAAATAGTAGGGGAAATGGAACACATGCAAGAGAGGGATTGAGTCACCTTTCAGTTGTTGTTTCCATTGGGAAAGGCCTCAGTGAGTTTTTTTGCCTCCTGACAAAACATAGGCTTTGCCAGAAGTTCATGTTAAAATGTAGCACAGGTTACATTTTAATCAGAGTATCTAACCTGGTTCTTCTATTCTGAAATTTCCTTTTGAGACTTGTCATCTTTAATAGGCATGTAACAAAAAAAACTAACAACAACAACAAAACCAGCAAAAATCAAGATCCATTTTACCAATAGCTGGAGAAGCTCTAATCGGGAGCAAAATGTTTGCGATAGTCAAGAAATAATGCTGATCTTATGTAGTATTGGTAAGCAAGTAATTAGTATTAAGTGATATTCATGAATAACACTCTGTTTTGACATTTAATATCTAGAAAGGATATTGAAAGGGGAAAAAAATATAATTTATTAGATTGCTGGACTCTTCCTCAGGCTTTGCTAGCAATGGATGCTTTTTATAGGTTGTATTTTGGAGAAGGGAGGAAAGGAGGAGGAATGTTTCTTGCTGCAGGGAATAGCAGAGGCTAATAATAGATTCTGTTGCTTCACAGTACTAAGTGAACTTTGCTCAAAGGACTGCTAATGTTATCAGTTGAGTATTGTGTTTCTGTCACTGTGTCATCACCTTTAAATTACATGTATTGTCTTTCAAATCTTTTCTTTATGTACTGACTTCCATATAAGCTGTAACTGTAAATTTATGATTCTTAGGAGGGTTTTGAGCTTTGTTCTTGGTAATTCATGTGATATGAATCTTGGAACAAGAACTTCTGTGGACTTTATGGGGAGTTTTAGTGGCTTTTTGATGAGTTTTACGGTTTAAAATACTTTATCCTGAGCTCTGATGAAAAGAAAACCAGGCTTCTTCACCCTATTCTAATTATTTCTGTGTGTCTCTGGAAAACCCATGCATATTTTGAAGGATGCAGCCCAACCAATTTTCTGATAAGACTAGGAAGTAGTCTTCCTTTCTGAACTCCATGAGGCTCAGCTTTGCAGTGAGATGCTGTTCTAAATGCAGTGTTTTGGGAATTAAATTCCAAATTAATGAGAATTATTTTTATTTTGACCAATTACACTTCTTTTCTTTTTGTACTTGGTTTCTGTAGAGACAAGTACGTCACATTTATGTATTGTTTTCTATGATGTGGCAATAAATCCATGGTGTTTGAACATACAGAAGTGCATTTGAGACATCAGACACATCGGAAATCCAGAAGACATTGTTTAGTTCTGTCAAACTGTAGTATTAAAAATAAATCATAACTCCAGCAATGAGGCATAATAAAGTTGATAAACTATAGCACCTTTTGGAATGTTCGGAAATAAAACTAGTTATGGGTCTAACCACTGCCATTCCACAATAGCAGCATGTTCTCCTTTGCCTGTTAAGGGATGCAATGCAATAATAGCAATTTAAGGACAGATGCTCTGACTGAGGGAAGAATTCTTCATATATTTCTGTTTGTATGTGTACTGAATGAAAGCAAATAGATGTAATATGTGTGTGTATATATGTGCATATGTATCTATAACAGATAAAATTATTATATCTGTTTGCTTTCATTAATTTTTTCCTTTACTGTTTATATGTAGTAAGGGGAATATTTTCCAATACTTAGTTACCTCTCTGGAGGAGATGTATAATCTTCTTTAAACTATCTGCTCTCTTGCAGTCCATGTTTTGTGGCCTTGTATTGTGTTACTGATGTATTTGTGATATCCTAATATAATTTCTGTCAAAAGGCTATAAGCCAAATTCTTTCTTTGGAAACATGCTCGTTATTCCAAGTGACTTGAACATGAACTGCTCAAATATCCCAAGGCAGGAAAATGCTCACTGTTAGCCAATGGAATTAATGACCTCAGGAGAAAACCTGAGGAAACCTTTCTTCTTTCTTCAGAAATTCTGAATATTACGCTAGTAGGATAGCAGAGAAGTTTTAATTTGCTGTCATTAACAAAACACTGGTTATAAAATGGGGTAGTATTGTAATAGTTCATTCATTAGTTACGCTTCCGTGTGAATGACCATCCTTACTTTAAGACAATGCCTCTTTCAATAACTGTTATCTATAAAGTTTGCAAGACAATGCCTCTTTCAATAACTGTTATCTATAAAGTTTGCATGTAAGAAAGAACGTGAAAAACCGGATATGAGCCATCAGTGTGCACTTGAGCCCAGACAACCGTCGTGTGCTGGGCTGCACCCCCAGAGCGTGAGCAGCAGGTCGAGGAATTCTCCCCCTCTGCTGGCTCTGGGGAGCCCCCCCCTGCAGCCCTGATCCAGCTCTGGGGCAACAGCACAAGAGGGATGTGGAGCTGCTGGAGCGAGGCCAGAGGAGGCCCCGGAGCTGCTGCGAGGGCTGGAGCAGCTCTGCTCTGGAGCCAGGCTGAGAGAGCTGGGCTGGGGCAGCCTGGAGAAGAGAAGGCTCCAGGAAGACATGGTTGCAGCCTTTCAATACATAAAGGGGACTTCTAAGAAAGACAGAGAGATACTTTTCACCAAGGCCTGTAGTGACTGGACAAGGGGCAGTGGTTTTAAACTGAAAGAGGGGAGGTTTGGTTGGGCATAAAAATTTTTTTTACAATGAGAGTGGTGAGACACAGGAAGTGTTCAAAGTCACATTGGATGGGGCTTTGATCAACATGATCTACTGAAAGATGTCCTTGCCCATGGCGGGGGGAGATTGAACTATAGGTGATCTTTAAAGGTCCCTTCCAACCTAAACCATTCTATGATTCTGTAAGGAAAGAGGTCTCTCAAGTGCAAGTATCTTTTCAAAACTTACCTCATTTTTACAGTTACTCATCATAGGTTGTATCTTGCATTTTTATTGGCCAGACATAAAAGCAAAAGTCAAATTATCCAAATAAAGAGCAATGCCTCATGGTGTGCTTGCAAAGCAGACTAGTAGAGTGAGCAAACCCAAATCCATTTAAAACCAGGAATGTCTGTGGGTTTTATCATTAAAATGCTTGAATGCTTGTGAAGAGTTTGTGCCATACTGGATTAGCAAATGGGTAAAACCTGCTGAAAAGTGGTTGCTTCTACTTGTTGTATAAAATCACAAACATGGTCTCAGGTGTTTGGTACATCAGAAAGAATTGACTTAGAATAATTACTACTTGGTGAGAGGAAAAGCACTACTGAAAACTTTGCATAGGTATACTGAGTAATGAGATAAAAGTCATCATTTGAGAAGCGTGTTGCTCAAGAAGTTTAGGAACCTTTTGCTTACTGGTGTTATAAATTCTGCCTATAATATACATTAAGTGCAGAAAGTAAGCTGGTAAAGCAGAGCACAGGAGTCAACTAGCTAAAGCAAACAAGGGAAATAGACATTTAAGTTTGATTAACTTATTCTAGTGGAAACCTTTCTTTTTGTCTTATGCCTAGGCGAGAAAATGTTTAAGATTGACAGTGGGAGGAATGCACCCCTTCACTCTCCTCCTTCGGAGCATTACACCATTATCTTCAACACCTTTGTCATGATGCAGCTTTTCAATGAAATCAACGCACGGAAAATCCATGGTGAAAGGAATGTCTTTGATGGCATCTTCAGAAATCCTATTTTTTGCACTATTGTACTGGGTACCTTTGCTATTCAGGTAAGGATTTGGGCAAGAATTAGTAACTGTTCATCAGAAATGTAACTTTTTTGTATATTTTCTTTTTTTTTTTAAATCTAAATGTTGTATGGGGTACACTTGATAGCAAAGCACCTGGTTTCACATATTTTTTGAATCAATACAGGTATTAATAATGGAATATGTTACGTAGCCATACTAATACAGCATAAATTTTGATTGTTTTAAGTAGGTCAAACCTTAAATTAATCTGAAGATGTTAAAAAATAACATCCATCATGATTTGGTGGTCTTGGAACTGTTTTTTTTGTAGAAGAAATTATTAAATAATGTACCAATCAATAGCAGCAAAGCATTTTACATTACTACTCCGTGAATAGATAAATTGGCCTTCAAATAGCTAATGCTGATCTGTTCTTCTGAGGCTAAAGGCCACTGCCTAATGCTACTCAATGTTCTTGGTAATACTGTGTCTTGGCAGTAGTTCTTCATGTCCATCTCATGAGTTTGCTGTCCCAGTCATGTGTGAACATCATGAAAAATACACACTTTTCCCAAATAGTTGTAATTTTTCTTCCGTAAGAACTCAGCTTCCTCCTTCCACTCCTGTATCTGTCCTTCTTGCTAACTTCTATCCTGTACTTGATACCACTTGACATGACCTCTTAGAAGCCTACTACAGCCCTCACAGTTGCTTAGATTTGAGCTATTTCTGTCTTGACATTGCTCAATTCCGCATTGGCATCCTGGAAGCTGTCAGTTTTGGGACGTTCCTCATGGAAGTAGTAAGGAGGAGGGTAGAGCTATTAGAATCTGGGCTATAGTGGTTGAAACAGCAAAGGGGAAACCGCTCAATAAACTAAGTATGGGAAAAAGGACACCAGTGATTGGTAGCAGAACTTGATAGTGATGCTCTTTAACAGCTGGTTTGAAGACATGGTTTAACTACCAGGAACTAAAATGCCTTTAGTAGAGGCCTGTCAAATTCACAATCATCTCTAATTCTTTTTTTCTTTATCTGTTGTTAATCATGGGCAGTATTTGAGGATGTTTTCTTAGTTCTAGGCATTACTCTATTCGGTTGTCTGTCTGAAGGAAAAGTGTCATGTAGCTACTAGCCACGTTTCTGAATTGGCTGATGATTTTCCTCACTCTCCCCTGCTTCCTTAGTAGCTGAAATACTTTAAGTGCACACTTCAAAACACTAGGTTTGCACTCCAGCAGTGAATCAAAAAAGATACTGTAGCATAAGAGTACTTAGGCTGTGACTCCTACTTGCTTTTAAGCCTCTTTTTAAAATCAGGTAATGTTTCTTGGCACAGCAGAAGGTTAATCTTTCTATTTTCCACTTTGTGTATTAGGTTGTGGAAATACAGCTTGCATAATGTTGCTTGCTGAAGCAATGTCAGGAAAGCACTTACAATTTTGGCTGTGTGTTTTAATAGCTGGATCCATGGGCCAAGCATCTTATTCTAAAGGAAAAATGATTGATCTTGGATTATGTAGATGGATGTGAGAGGTTACGAAAGTGGCTTTATTTCATATTTAAAACTTTCTGAGTTTCATATGTGTTTACTATGCTTTCTGTGAAGTACAGACTAATTGGCTTTGCTATTTCATCTTTGAGTGCAGTAGTTCCATTAACTAATAGTTTAGTTTAGTCCTTCTCCTAAACCCCTCCACAAAGAAAAAGCCAGCAGCAGTGGCCAAATTTGCAAAGTAAAAAAGATGGAGACTATTAGAATGTATCCTCAGTAAGGATCAGAAAGTGCTTCTGAGAGAGCTTACAACAGCTTGAGAAATAACAGGGTAGTTACCACTCCCGTCCACAGACAAGCAATAGATTTCTTTTACTTCTCTAATTCCTTTCTCTGCTTTCAGAACCAATAAATGTTTTTCACAGTGAGGGAAGATGGATTAAAACATTCTATATCTGCCATATAGCATTTAGCAATTCCTCAATGTGGACTTGTAATTTCTTGCTTAGAATTTTAGTGTCATAATCACCATTTTTGTCTCCTCCTTTTTCCTTACTTTCTCCAATCATTTTCCTCCTTCCTATCTACTACCTTCCATTCCCTGTCCCATTCCCTCTTCCTGTGTATTTGCACTTCACATGGATGAATTTGTATTCATAGTCTGTGTTTTGTCATTCACAAAGGAAATCAACTGCTCTGTGTATTAGTGTTCTTTTGTATCTTAGGCTGGACTACTACTTTGAATTTGTGTTTTGCAGCCTTTTTTGACAGTCAGTTTAAATCTCTGGCTTGTGATTTCAGCTCCTGATTTTGCAGCAGCACTACGAACAAATATCAATAATGCCTGACTTTCATTTAACAAAACCTTCACAGTCTAACCAGGCTTAGAAACTTGTTCAGGTTCTGTGTGCTGGTTATCCTGCTGCATGCCATGGGGTTTTCCCCACCCTCTTTCTCCAACAGGACTAGAGTTTGCTGTCCTATCAGTCTATCCATGATAACACATCTGTAACTGTACAATAAAATGTTAATTTGAGGGAAAATCTCTCATGCAGTGGGAATTCCAAAATACACTACTCCAGAATCAACACATCTCCAGCTGAGAATACTCAGAAGCTGGGAGAACACATGGGGACAGTCATTCTTTCTTTATTCCTGGGCATTCCTGTATCACTGTTATTAGATGTGAGGCTACAGAAGCTGTAGTCTGAAGTGTTACAGCTTTTTCTGACCCCTAATTTGAGGTGCATAAGTTTGTATGGTTGGATTTTTAGTGACTGAGATTCTGAGATTTTGCTGGATGGGGCCAAACTGTACCTCTGGTAGTGTAACCTGCAAGTGCCAAACAACCTATCTGGAATGTAAGAGAGCATTTTGATTTTGCTCTTTAGATTGAGTCCATTAAACTACAGGTTGTTAGTAATATGTTTGGCTATTCTACTGGTAAAATATGTTGTAATGAAATCAGCAGAACTATAATATGCAGGAGGACAAATTAAAATCTTAAGTAAAATATGACTGAAAGTTGTTGAGGGTTTTTTTCGGGGGGGAGAGGGTGAGGGGAGTGTTTTGGTTTCTTTGGGTTTATCCCCAGAAAATATTGACCCCATTTCTTCTCTGCTTTCCTTTGTAGATAGTAATTGTCCAGTTTGGAGGAAAACCATTTAGCTGTTCTCCCCTGCAGCTTGACCAGTGGATGTGGTGTGTATTTATTGGACTAGGAGAACTTGTATGGGGTCAGGTATGCAGAATTCTGTCTTTTGATTTTATGAACCATCAAAGATGTGATATTGCTCATAGTCCTACTGTCTTCTTATTTCCTTGATCTCTCACAGTGCCATTTGTAGCACACACTGAAACATAGGTGCTAAGTGCTTCAAGAACAGATAAGAGTAATAAGGATAATTTATCCCACTCTTCCTTTTGATTTTCGTTAATTATCGTATCTTTTCT